TATGTACATAGCTCCGTATCAAGTTATCGATCGATTTCGTCACTACGAAAGAATCAACAATTGAAAAAGATGTGAACATATAAGTTACCTAAATCACAAGAGAAATGATCAAATCTTTCAACACATAGTATAATAAAAGAAAGTATCATACAATCTCTTCTCATAATTTGTCTATAAGAATAAAAACTCTATACTTTTTGGTTGTAATAAGTATTTTTCTTATTGATGGTTTCTTTCGATGCGTATGCACTTATTTGATTAAAGATAAATTTGAAACTTTTGTGAACCTTAAAAATTGGAAATCTAAAGTGGAAAATCAAATAGGCAAAAAGTGAAATATTTGCATATTGATAACGATTTTGAATTTTATAATGCCGAATTTGACAGTCTGTGTAATTAATTTGTCATCAGTGGATATAAGACTGTATCTTACACTCCCTAAATGGGAATTTTGAAAGGATGGATCATACTTTACTTGATAAAGTTAGATGTATGATGTTAAGTTTTAGCGTGCCTAAGTCTTTTTGGGGCGAAACTGTTATGACTGTATGTTATCTGACTAATTTGACTCCTTTCACTATTTTAAATGATGATACTCAGTATAAGATTTGGTATGGTAAGTGTGCTGATAATATATGCTTATGACTTTTGGTTGTCATGCTTTCTCTTATCAAAATGAGGGAAAACTAGAACCTAGAGCTAAAAAGTTTGCCTTCTTAAGTTACCCTAAGGGAGTTAAAGGATATACATTATAGGATAGAATCCAAAAGGGTGTGAAAATAATCATAAGTCGTGATGACACATTTAATGAGTCCGAAATGCCATGTAAACAGAGTAAGGAACAACAAGAAATCGTCAAGAGTGAGTGAATATCCACATCCCCAATACTCCAAGTGAGGTAGAGAGCAATACACAATCAGTAGAATATGGAAGGTGGATGAGATGATTGTAGAGAATAATGCTATTGATCAAGACCCTTTAGATGACTATCAATAAAATAAAGATAGAGAGAAGATACCACATAGAAAAACCCCAAATACTATCTGATTATACCATAGCCTATACTAATTATTAAAAACTAGTGGATAGGAAACCTAACACCTATGAGAAAGTTGGGCGAAGTGAAAAATGATAGGAATTTCTAGGCGCCATAAGAGAAGAGATGAGCTCTCCTAATAAGAATCAAACTTAGGATCTAGTTCTAAGACCTAAGGATAAATCCAGAGTAGGCTGTAAATGGGCATACAAAATTAAGGAGAGAACTAGTGAGAGTGAAACCGTGAGATATAAGGTTAGGTTTGTAGCTAAGGGGTACACACAAAAAGAAGGGATAAACTATAATGAATTCTTTTCTCTCGTTGTCAAGTACATTACTATTAGGATCATGCTTGCTTTTGTTGCTTACTATGATGGGGACTTGAATAACTTTATATCAAAATCGCCTTTTTACATAGTGACTTGATGAAAAGATTTTTTAAGTCTACCTAAAGGCTTTGAAAGTAAGTATAAACCTAACAATGTGTGTTTTTTAAAGGAATCTCTTTATGTGCTAAAACAATTGCCACGCTAATATTATAAGAAAATTGATTCTTACGTACTTTTCATTGGTTTCAAAAGGTGTGAGTTTGACCATTGCTTTTATTCCTTGCACCACAGCATTAACAAAGAGTGTGTCTATTTGTTGCTTTATGTGGATGACATGTTATTTATTGATCTAATATGAAGATGGTAAACAAGATGAATTTGAAATTAAGCATAAAAATTGATATGAAATATCTAGGAGATGCTAGGTGGATCCATGGTACAGAGATTAATCAGGATAGAAGTAATTATTGCTTATATGTGCATGAAACTCTTTATGTGCCTAAAATTTTGAAGAAATGAATGTAAGTCTGCTTTTGTGTCTCTTGGAAACCATTTTGTCTTAACTAAAGACCAATCGCCTGCTAATGAAAAAGAAACGAATTTTATGAGTAATGTGTCTACTTTAATGTGATAGGATTTGTCATGTATCTCATGGTCTGCACCAGACCTGACATGGCTCACATTGTAAGTGTGTTAAGCAGATACATGTCTAATCCTGGCACCAAACATTTGGGAAGCTTGAAAGTGGTTGCTTAGGTACTTGAAGAGTACTTTTGATTAATGGTTAATTTATAAGTCCGAGGGTAAAGGTGTGAAATTTAAAGGTTTCACAGATGCTGACTATAGTGGTGATATAGACAATAATGTATTTACATTATATGGTATTGTATGAGTTGAAAGTCCTAATTACAACATATTGTTGCTTTATTTACTACTGAATCTGAGTATATAGCGGCCACTGAAGCTATTAAAGAAGTTTTGTGTGTTTACTTAAGTGACAATATGACTATATACTCTGATAGTCCATCTGCTATTTATTTATGCAAGAATCCTGTATTTCATGACTAAGCATTTAGATGTTATACTGCATTTATTAGAATTGTAATATCTCAATGCTTATAAAACTTGAGAAAGTGTATTTTGACTACAACCCTGCAAACAAGGGCACTAAGTTGCTCCCCTTGGTAAAGTTTAGAAGTTGTCTTACACTTTTAAACATTGGTAAAGGTACATGATGTTCAATTTATTTTGAAATCATATTGTACAAACACTAATTTATTTTTTCTTTTCTTTGCAAGTACATTTGGCATCAAAGTGGAGGTTTGTTGGATATTTTGATAGCAAATAAACATCGGGTGATGATGAATATTCAGGATTGAAATTATTCATTAGACTTTTCGTCGGCCAAATAATGAAACACTAAGTATTGAGTAGAAAATCAAACCTAGTAGCCCAAATTACAAAGAAAGACCAAAACCATTCTAAAGGCCCGACCCATTACCACTGGACCTATTACTTAACCTATTACATGGATATTTAAAATAGGCCTCTCCTCTTTGTGTGAACATAACACGCTGCTTCCTCTCGACATTAGCTGCTCCTTTTAACCTCCTCTGGCTACTCCTCTTCGTGATATTATTTGGCCTCTGTCTTATGTCCCTTTTGTGGGCTGCCTCCTGCTACTCCTTAGGCTAGTGTGTCCTGCGACTTGAACCTTGGTTTTGCCAAATCTCTATGTTCGATTTCAGTTCCTATTTCAGTCCTTTACAGATGCCTTGTGTTCTTAGCTTCCTTGGCCAGTTTTGGGTATTCCTTGTGGTCCATTTAAGTTGGTTACTTTGATCCAATTTGTGTGGTGTTGCTGTATGATTCTTGGCTCTTTATCTAAGCCTTTATCCATCCATTTTGGTGCCAAATCTTCAGAGTATTGATAGGGAAGTATTTGCTTTCAGTTTTAATAATCTTATTATTTACTTGATAGATTACTTGCTTGGTATTTGTTATTATCTATTAGGTGAATTAACACACATCAATTTACTTTTAAATATATGTTGTATTTATAAGAGAAAAACCCTTGAGGAATAGGGATGGCGAGGGTAGCCCTAAGCTCGCTTGGCTCCTTGTTGGTTATGCTAAGTTTCCTTGTGCAATTAGATTTTATTGTAGAAATTAATTTCATATGATCTTTCTTGATCTCTAGGGACTCGTTTGAAGGGATCGACAAGATAGTTTCCTTATTCAATAGTTCCTAGTAAAGCATGTCCAAGACCGGATTCGAAGATCATGGTCACCTTCGCCTGTTGGCAACTTGATTGTTTCGCAATTTTGGAAATGCCTTTGCAATAGGCGAAGTTGAGCAAAGATCAAAGGAATGATAGTAATGCCAAAGGCGAGGGAAGCCATGCTCAAGTAGAATGCAATGAAGAATGGACAGACTTTCCACATGTCTCACTACTGAAAGCCTATGTGGCCTCTACTGCCACACTGGTATCTGGTTCTTATATAGAGCCTACAAAGGATCCATGGTGTAACAATTCTTTCAGTACATTTTTGTTAACTTCAATTTCAAAAATAGGTGGGTCGTCGTAATCTTCACCTAAATCAACATTCAATTTTCGCTCAAAATTAAAAGTTGCAAAAGGATAAGCATCATAACTAATAGGATTTTGAAACAGGGCCTGTACAGGCCACTCACATTATAGGGGAGGTAGGGTAATTTTTTTTTTTAAATAATCACCCACCCCCTCACACAGCATGTGAGGGGGCCTTACAGGGCCTGTACATCAAGCATTATGCTAATAAAAATCCTCCTCCACGATGAACTCTATACCAATTGCTGCACCATCCATGCCCAGAATTCTGCTGTTTGATCCCTATAGTACGCTTGTCTCAGGTCGACCACCTTAAATAGATCCCAACAATCTCTTGTTGGGCCTTCAATGTATCCATATGCTTCATGCATAAACACTGAAAAGCAACCACTAATTGGGTAAAAAGCTCTGAGTGTTTAATTTAAGGGAAAATCTCATAATTAAAAGGATTATAATAAACAATTTCAAAATTAATAAATAATTTTTAAATCTTCAAAAATCAAATCATAATTAAATTTTATTAATTAAATATTTTTTTTATTAATTATACACATTAAGGTCACAATTCTATTACAATTTGATTACAAATTATCAAATTAATTAATCACAATTTATTTATCGATCACAAATCAAAAAATAATAGACCACATGTTATTTATCAGTCACAAATCACAAATTTTATAAGTCACAACTTATTTCACAACCACAAAGTATCAAATTAATTTATTACACGTTATTTCTCAATCACAACTTAATAAACTAGAGTCATGATCACATTTTTTAGATCACATATTATTTCTCAGTCACATATTAATCAATTTATTGGCCACAATCAATCAAATAATTGGTCACAAACAGCCCCACTCCGGCCATCCTACCTACAACTACTACCACAGTCGACTACCATGACCATCACCAATATGACCACTACCTCACCACCACAAACAACATCAAAACCACCACCACCCAAACACCACAAAAAAAATTAAATCCAAATTTATCAGTTATCACCACCACCACCTCACCAGCACTGCCAACATCACTATGTCCTCATTATCGCAGCCAACATCACAACCATCACCACCTAAATACCTCCAAAAAATCAAATCCAAAATTATTAGTCATCGACATCACCATCACTACCAAGGCGCGGCGCCAGCACCCGACGAGTGGGCACAACCGCGCGTGCTGGCTCCGCCGGAATCTACAGAGTCGTCGGGTCAGTGTGGTCGCTGACTCTCCTGGAAAAGAAGAAGGAAGATGCAATTCGTTTGTTTTTTTTTTTTTTGGGCTTTTGCACAAAATGTTAAATTTTGGGGTTGGGCCTCTTATTATTTAGCCCAAATGTCAAATTAATTTATCCAAACACATTACCCATATTAATACCCATTTCATTTCAATCGTTCATGGTGGGCAACTGGGAAGTAAGAAGAGCTGCAAAATTGTGATTTGTGAATTTTCCCCAAATGCCAAACCTTTTTCCTTGAGTCGACCTTGCTTCTTCTTTCTCCAAATGCACACCACACAATTTAGGTTAGCTCCACCATACTCCAGTCTCCAAGAAGCCTAGGCAGTCACCACAGACGGTAGACCGCAGCGTGCTGTTGGCTGTTGCAACGTCAAATCGGAACTGCCGAACTCGAAGGCCCGAATTGCTCCAGAGTCCAGACTGGTAACTCCTTTTCTTTCCCTCTTTATTATTATTATTATTATTTTGTTCTTTTTTTGGTTTTGTTCTATTTTGATTTGGCTATTTTGATTTTGTTGGATTTTATTTTGCCCCTGCTACTGTAGTGCCTAGTGCCTACTGTTACTGTGATTGTGAATTGTGAGTCTACCTAATTTGTTTTGATTTTGTTCTATGATTCTATCTTGGACTTGGAGAGTTGGAGTTGTTGATGTTGAACTTGAGCATTGAATAATTTAATATTAATGATGTTATGATTTATTCATTTGGAAATTTATGTTTGCGAATTGTCATTTATGTATTATGATAAGTAATTTACGTTTTATCATGATGAGTTATGATTATTGATTTGAAAATTTATATTTAAGAAATTGTATTTGCGAATTGTGATTTATGATAAGTAATTTATGTTCTAATGAGGAATGAATAATGATTTGGGAATTTACATTTAGGAAATTAGGATAAATAATTATTTTTTGTTTAATTGAGAAAATGTTGGCCGCTCAATTCAACCCGTGTGCACTTGGTTTTTTTTTTAACCAATTGTAATTGAAAAATAAATTGGGACATTTGCAGATTATGGAACGATTTTTTCAACCAAAACGAAAGTCCATACCCAATTCTTCCACTTCTAGTTGTGCATCTAGTCCCACCACTCATTCTAGTCGAGCACAAGAGTTATTGAATAACACAAAGAAGTCCCGGGCTCAATTTAATATGGATGATCTTGTATCTGATCTAGGGATACGCCCCCCTATCGAGTCGTATGATCCTAATATCAGAGATGATGTTAGGATGGCATATTTGGAGAAGGGTCCTTGTCAACCATATGGACATGATTTTCCAAGAAAATCGATGGGGAATGATAGTAGATGTTTTCGGAAAGAATGGTTCTCCGAATTTCATTGGTTGGAATACATTATAGAAAAGGATGTGGCGTATTGTTTGCATTGCTACTTGTTCAAACCCGATAGAGGGGGTCAAGGGGGTGGCCATATATTTACTAAGACCGGCTTTAGGGATTGGAAGCACAAAAAGATATTGAAAGATCATGTCGGTCTCTTTGATAGTGCTCATAATCAAGCTTTTGCAAAGTGTACCAACTTGATGAATCAAAAGCAAAGTATCTCCTATATTATTTCTAGCCAAAGTAGTAGTTAACAACAAAGTTATAGGACCAGGTTGAATCCGGTGCTAGATTGTACAAGATTCCTCTTGATGCAAGGATTGTCATTTCGTGGTCATGATGAATCGAAAGACTCTCTTAATAGAAGAAATATAATTGAGTTACTGAACTGGTATGCAGCTCATTGTAAAGAAATTAAAGAAGTATTATTTAGTAATGTTCCTGGAAATGACCAAATGACTTCACCAACCATCCAAAATGATTTGGTTAATTGTTGTGCCGTAGAGACAACAAGGGCTATTATCAATGAGATAGTTGATTCTTTGTTTTCAATTTTGGTTGATGAGCTCGTGATAATTCTATGAATGAACAAATGGAAGTTGTTTTGAGGTTTGTCGATAAAAGTGGGCAAGTGAAGGAGCGGTTTTTGGGTATGTCCCATGTTACTAATACTTGTGCCCAATCACTGAAGGATGCCATTGATGCAATATTTTCTACACATGGGTTGAGCGTATCTACCCTGAGAGGTCAAGGCTATGATGAATCAAGTAATATGTCAGGTGAGTTCAATGGGTTGAAAGCTTTAATTCTAAGAAAGAACCCACATGATATGTATGTTCATTGCTTTGCTCACCAGCTTCAGTTGGCCATTGTATTTGTCGCACGTAGGAATTGTATGCTTGGTGGTTTGTTTGACATACTTGTTATTATTGTGAATCTGGTAGGTGCATCATGTAAGTGTGTAGATTCTCTTCGAACAAGTTATCAAGCTAATATTCTGGAGAAGCTTAATATTGGGGAACTTAATGGTGGAAGTGATCAGTTTCAAGAAATGAGTTTGGCACACCTAGGTGATACTAGGTGGGGCTCACATCTACTGACAATTACTCGTTTAATTAATATGTTTAATGCTATCATAGATGTTCTTGAAAATATATTAGAAGATGGCGTACATTCAGATAAAAAATCTTCAGCCATAAGACAGATGAACGCTATGCAAGATTTTGAGTTTGTGTTCAGTCTCTACTTTATGTTTAAAATTCTTGCAATTACAAACGACCTTTCACAAGCCTTACAGAAAAAGGATCAGGATATTCAGAATGCAATAAGGTTATTGAATGTGTAAGTGTGCATTGCAGAACCTGAGAGAGAACGGTTGAGATACTTTGTTGAGTAGGGTGATTAAGTTTTGTGTTGATAGACATATTTTAGTGCCCAATATGGAAGATATTATAGTAGTGAAAGGTCGACCTAGGCGTGTAGCTCAGTAGGTGACTTATTTTCATCGCTTATTTTCATCGCTTTTATGTTGATTTGTATTGTCATGCAATAGACTCAATCTTGCAAGAGTTGAATGATCATTTTCTATAAACAACCACTGAGCTCTTTACTTGCATTTCATGTTTTAAGTCCAAGAGATTCATTTGCAACTTTTGATAAGAATAAATTGCTACGTCTTGCTCAGTTCTATCCTTTAAACTTCAATAATGAAGAGCTTTTATTACTTAGACCTCAGCTTGATAAGTTTCTTTTGCTTGTGAGAATGGACGAAGTTTTCTTTAATCTCAATAGCATATCTAGTATAGCTCAGAAGTTGGTTGAAACTGGAAGTTCCTGTTATTTTTCATTGGTTTATAAGCTGCTCACCTTGGCATTGATATTACCTGTGGCAACTACAAGTGTTGAAAGGGCATTTTTTGCTATGAATCTAATCGAGAGTGATTTGCGCAACAAAATGGGAGATGACTAGTTAAATGACAATTTGGTAGTTTACGTAGAGAAAGCTATTTTTAAAAAACTTGAGAATGAGGCAATATTGCAATGTTTTCAAATCATGAGACCTCATAGAATATAGTTATCTAAGTCTACAGTTACAGAGTAACTGAGTAAGGTTGAATCATTTTTTTTTTTTTACTATTTTGGGTTGTATTGAAGTATATTTTCATATGTATACGATTTTGACATTTCAGTTCATTTACATATATATTGAATAACTTTTAATATTATATAACCAATTTTATTAAACAATCGGACTATTACGATCGTCAACGGTCAACTCGTCCAAGTCCGATCGTCGACGGTCAACAGTCAA